GCGTACCTGACCACAGGTTCAAGAACCAGTGACTTTAAGTTTGTGACATCATACAATGACAACACGCTGCCTGCTGACCAGACTCTGAAGAAAAGTCCATCAGACTTTGTCGATGTGTTTCGGGACAGCGATGGTTCTCCTGAGGTAGGATAATTTCATTGTCACCAAAAATATCTTTTCGTCGTCCCAAAAATAAACTTGAATGATTCTGTAACCTCATTTGATTTACTTTGTTGCTTTTGTACATTAGTAATGTAAGCATCTTGCAATTTCATTATTTTTTTTCTCTGTCCTTGGTTCTGAACTGCGTTTTTGCGCTGTTCCTGGAATCGTTTTATGTGAATTTTAAGTCAATTTTTTCCTTTCTTTTTTCCCTGATTCATTTTTTAATACAGTTCCAAATTTGAGGGACCACCGATTTGGTTTGTCCAAAGTTGCGTTGCTTCTGGTTTGTGTAGTAGTATAAACAACTACCTTATATGTACATCATTCTTGTCTGTCCTTGGTCCTGAACTCGGCTTGACATTTTAATGCTCTTCTAAAGATAGTTTTTTGTTTTGTGCTTTTTTCTTCTCTTTACCTTTCTTTCTTTCTTTGTTTTAGAAACACTGTCACCGTTATAGCACACCTAAAAACAATATTTTTAGTATTTAGGTGTGATAATAATTTTCGCATAAATAAGGATTTCTAATTGATAATAAAGCTGTTCCTTCTACGTTTGTGTTGGCCATTAAAAATGTCATTCTTTTTTCATTTTTCTTTAATTGTTACTGAAAAGAAGAAGGTATGGACATGTCTCTATTACATATTTCATTTAAAGAAATCTTCTTTCAGTCATAATTGTTCTTATGAATCCTTTACGTTAAGTTCTCAGCGTTGATAGAAATCGGACCCTTCAACGGTCTTTCAAAATACTTGCAGCAGTGTTCATAGTCACTTTCTCGTTTTGTTTCGTTTTCTATTCGTTGTATCAATTTTAAAATGGTTACTAATCCTTCTGAAAGCGCACTGTGTGGATCACCGTTTGTTCACCCTCAGTTAATTGGACGAATACATTTGAGCCTTTTTTGACCCTCTCTATCTATTACAATGAGAATCCCAGGACTCTTCAGAAATACAAAACGATTTCACAGCAAGTCATCAAAAAGTAACGCTACGTTTTTGCACATAAAACATTACGAAGAACTTAGAATTTTGATAAAAGAGAAACTAACAGGAATAACAAAAAAAACGAGAGAGAAAAAGCTCTCTCCCCTTTCAACTTAAATCATAGTGCAGAGTCTGTGTCTAGGATCATTCTGTTGACTCGTCAAAGCTGTCTGGAAACAGAGAAACGGTTATTTTACCCTTTTTTTTTAGTTTCCATTGCAGCTGGATCATTACCTTATTACATATTATATATTTTATAACTACCTATGTTTTCAGCCATTAAAAGTAATAATAAAATAGCAAAGCAACTATCTATAT